TTATTTTTTTTGAACTCCACCTAGCACACATGGCGCTCCATCTTTTTTTTTTTTTTTTTATTTGGTAGAACTCCACCCAGCACACACAGTTGGCAATTTGCTTTTTTTCTTCGCCTTTTTCCTGGCACGTTTGCATCTTATCGAACGCACTTAGCAAGCTCTCATCAATTCACTTGGTGGGAGGACTTTTTTTTTTTTTTTTTTCCGACGAGGGCTCTTCGTAGTAGTCAAAATCTAGTATTCCACCCCACCTATAGATTGGAGCCAAAAAAAAAAAACAAAAAAAAAACACTTAGTATTCACTGCCGAAACCAGATAAAAGCCCTTGAAGTTCTACAACAAGAAAAAAGCCCTTTTTTATTACTAAGTCTTCAACTGCTGAACGTTACTTAACCACCGCCCCTTTCCGTCACTCAGCGCATTTGTACGCTTATAGCACTTAGCAGTCTTAGCACCTCATTATTCGTTGGGATAGCTGTGGCCGTTCTTTTTTTTTTTTTTTTTTTTTTTTTTACATGGTTTTATGGACCGCGGATCAGATATTAAACTGATCAGAGATTCAGAACAGATACAGTGCACTTGATCTTAGCCAACATACCGAGAAAGGTATGGTCGTGGTTATTGAGTGGGTCGAGCAGTTCAATCTCCCCTGTTAGGTCATATACTGACACCACCGTCGTCACCGGAATAAAACGCCCGGTAAGTTTCGCTGCATCTGGATTGAAAGTTGTGCCAAATGCAGCTATAATGACCGGGCGTTCTATTCGGGTGAAGACGGTAGGACTGTCTGGAGTGCATATGGCGGTAATTTTCTGACCAGATACCTCCCGGAATGTTCAGGTCTGAGCAAGCCTGGGGGCATATTCAATAACTTCGCCCTATAGAAAGGCCTCAGTTTGGCTATGCACCCTGGTAATGAATGTATACAAGCTGCCTTCCCGGTCCAGTACAGGCAGAACCAGGACGCGTTGTGTTCGGGGGAAAACGGCAGTCGAGGCCGCTTAGTATTTCA